TGGAAAACTTCTGTTATCCAATTGTTGTTTCTTTCACATTTGTTCCATTTTGTTAGGAATGTGGTAATTATTCCATTTCCAAGCTTAGCTTAAAATAAAAGCAGTTAACCAAACAGAAAATTAGTTGCACCAAATGATATTATCATAATACCAAAAGGAACCTGATTTGACAGTGGGAAAAGAGAATAGGGTTGAAAGGGATCAATGGAGCGGAGGGAACATGGACATAAATCAGTAGAGGTTCTTGAGGAGAAATAAGGGGATGTTATCTATGTAACACATTGATTTTTTGTTTCTCTTTGTGCCATAGGTGTCATCTGATGATTATTTGTTCCTTTATTGACTAGAATGGATGTTAGTAATAGACAAAACAGGGCAGCTTATGGTATAAATTTGAGCAGCAAGAGAGAGAGGTTTTTGGGGCTACGAAGCTGGCTGATTCATCTTCTCTTATTTATAGCAGAAATAGAAAGATACGGAACATCCGTAGTGCTGGGATTGGAGTGATCCAAATCAATCCAAATCTGATGTTCAAGGATTATGGGGAGAATTGTGAATATAATCTTTGCAGCTGTTAGTTTGAGTCAATAAGTTAGGTCTTCTATTTAGGGAACAAGAAAGTCATAAGGGATGTTCTGTAGCTCTTTCAGCTATAAAAGAGATGAATTAGCTAGCTGCAGCTCATTTGCAGCCCCCAAAACCTATCTCTCCTGCTGCTCAATTCCATACCATAAGCTGCCCTGTTCTGTCTATTACTAACACTAGAGGTGGTTAGTTGTCATATCTCCCCTGTTACGTGGAATGCTTAACATAGTTCATTTTGATAGTTCGAGTTCATGTCTTCCAATCCATGTATCCAACTTGTTTCATCACATTTGAGATTTGTCTGTAATTCTTTGTGTTAGTATGGTCTAATGCTACTGCACTCTTCCTTCTTATTTTGTGATAGTCTCATTATTGTTTATGATTTCTATGTCACTCATCAGTTAATAGAATGTAGATCTTGTTTTTCTAACAACTTCTTTGCTCTTCCATTTCATGGTTCCAGAATCAGGAAAATACACGGATCTGGAAACCTGTAAAGTTGAAGCAGAAGAATGTGATACCTATGAGGAAAATAATGAGGAACCTGTAGCTATGATAGAAGAATCTCCACCAGATATTGGACAAGATGGTTAGTGCAATCTAAATTTTGATTTCCATTATGTTCAAACAATGAGCTTTTCAGGTTCAGGAAATGGCATGTAATTGATCAGAAACTCCCAACATCAGTCTCCAAACTTTGAACGCGCAACACTTTGGATATATATGTTAACTGATTGCTGATAGCAGATGTTTTTAGAGTTCATAGCTAGTGTGGTAGCGATTACTTCCGAGATTATTAGTTGGCAGATGTTGATTCAGGTTAATCATTGTTTAGCCTATTGTTGTCAGTACAGAACTTGGCAGTCATTGGGTAAAATTTTAAGTTTATGGGCATGTTTCAAACTTCATTCCGTGAATTAGGAATAATTTGGAAACATGCTATATATGGGAAAACTTAGATGCTTTTGTAGATTAGCAAACTTATTAAGATTGTCCTTATCTTCTTGAAGCATCATACGAAGCTGCCTGCGTAGAGTGTACAAATGCTGTTCTGCTAGTAACACGTTCTCCACTGCCTTAAGATCAGAAAAAAATCCATCTTGGGATGCTGATGTGCACCCTTTCATTTTATTCCTATTTCCCGTTTTATTTCATTTGTACTATTATTTGCCAGGTGAGGATGGAGACAGCTGCGATTCATCCTGGAGTATGGAGTGTACCCAAGTCTTGAGAGTAAAGTCTATTTACATCAGTTCTGCAATTCTAGCTGCGGAAAGCCCTTTCTTTTATAAGGTAATTCTAATTTTGTCCTGAAATGCATTAATTATTTACTCTACTTGTATTGCTAGCTAGCTAGCTAACAACATCATCGTGCTCTTCTTGTTAGCTTTTCTCAAATGGCATGAAAGAATCTGATCAGAGGCATGCTACTCTTAGAATAACTGCTTCAGGTAATTCTGTAGTTCATTGTTCATTGTTTGTTTCTGTTTGACAAAAACTATAATTTCTGCACTATCCTATGACTGTCTGTAACGTTTTTCTTTATATTGCTGATATGATCAGTTTTGGTGGAACTTAAAGCTTATATCGATCTGATATTTAATAGTCCTGAATATTTATTCAAATTGATATTCTAGAATTCAATGTTGTGCATTTTCCTATATCATCTCTCAAGAATTATCAAGAAGTGTATGCTTCATTTGAAACTTTTCCAAATGAGAATAAGGGAGATTTTTCTGCTATTTGATTTTCTTGTAAACAGATAGCTTTTATCTGATCATTGTATGTCTATCTGAAACAGAGGAAAATGCCCTCATGGAGCTTTTGAGCTTTATGTATAGTGGAAAGTTGACAACAAATCAGCCAACCCTTCTGCTGGATATCTTGATGATTGCTGATAAATTCGAGGTTGTTTCTTGCATGAGGCATTGCAGTCAATTACTAAGAAGCTTGCCTATGACTACAGAATCTGCACTGCTCTATCTAGACCTTCCTTCGAGCATTTCAATGGCTGCTGCAGTTCAGCCACTGACTGACACTGCCAAGGCATTCCTTGCCAACAAGTACAAAGATTTGACCAAGTGAGTATTTTTCTATTGAATGCAGCTAGAACTAAGCTATGAAAACAATATGATTCACTGAAGGAACACTTCCTGTTTTCAGGCTTCAAGATGAAGCGATGAATATTCCTCTGGCTGGTATTGAAGCCATCCTATGGAGTAATGATCTGCAGGTGGCATCAGAGGACGCCATCTATGATTTTGTGATCAAGTGGGCACGTTCTCAATACCCAAAACTGGAGGAGAGGCGAGAGATCTTGGGTACTCGTTTGTTGCCACTGGTTCGGTTTTGTCATATGACCTGCAGAAAGCTGCGGAAGGTCCTTGCATGCAATGATCTGGATCATGAACAGGCAACTAAATGTGTCACCGAGGCACTTCTATACAAAGCTGATGCACCACATCGACAGCGTACCCTTGCTGCAGATGTTTTGACTTGTAGGAAATATGCTGAGCGAGCTTACAAATATCGTCCACTTAAGGTGGTGGAATTTGATCGACCATATCCACAGTGTATAGCATACTTGGATCTGAAGCGTGAGGAGTGCAGTCGGCTTTTCCCATCTGGACGGATATACTCACAAGCGTTCCATCTCGCAGGGCAGGGCTTCTTTCTCTCAGCACACTGTAACATGGATCAGCAAAGTGCATTCCATTGCTTTGGTCTGTTCCTAGGGATGCAAGAGAAAGGCTCGACTAGTGTTACTGTAGATTACGAGTTTGCCGCAAGAACAAGGCCATCAGGCGAGTTTGTCAGCAAGTACAAGGGCTACTATACCTTCACCGGTGGAAAGGCGGTTGGATACCGGAATCTATTTGCAATTCCATGGTCATCGTTCATGGCTGATGACAGCCTCTTCTTCATCGAGGGGGTACTACACTTGAGAGCTGAATTAACCATAAAACAACCCTAGATAGTGGACGGCGTTTAACTAACAGCGTCTCTGTTCTTGCTGTGTCCAAATTAGTGTGAAAAATGTTGTGTGATTCGGACTTACTGTTGTTTTCTACTTGAGCAACCTAAATAGACAGTTTGGAAACGGCAAGTAAAATCCCTTTTGTTTTTACATCAAAAGAGGATCATGACATGTAACGCATTGTTATCGAACTGTGAAAAGTGATTCTTCTAATCAAAGTTATGCTGAATGGTCCACATCGTCAATGACATTAAGTGATGGAAGCCATAATAGTATTTTCAACACAAAATAAATGTAATAATACATTTAATGTTAGATTTAGTGAAACTAATTTGGTCTTTTAGATGTTATTTTTTTTCCTATAGATTTAGTTAAATTTTAAAAAGTTTGGTTCTTAACCAGGAGGCTCAATGTCAATGAAATGCGTCTGGCTGAGCAAGTCTGACTTTGTTGAGCTGCCTGCGCTACTTTGCTAATCTCGCGCTCATTTCGTAATCTGGAGATTAGCTTTATTATTATATTTGTAGAGTAATAGATAATAATAGTAATCTGGGTAGTTGAAGTTTCTATTGATTTTCATAGCAATTTCCTGTCTCTATTGGACGGGGCTGATTTAAGGTTACGTGGGTGTGCTTGAGAAGAAGGGGATTGGGGAGATTGTGAAGATACGCAAAACGAGGTGAGCTATTAGCACATGATTAATTGAGTATTAATTATTTTAAACTTCAGAAATAGATTAATATGATTTTTTAAAACAACTTTCTTATAGAAATTTTTTACAAAAAACACACCGTTTAGTAGTTCGGAAAACGTGCACGCGGAAAATGAAACGATATTTCTCTCTTTCTCCTGCGCTCGAACGCACCCTTAAACGGGCTTTAAGGTAGAAAGTACACGTGGACTGCAAGCTTCTATTTAGAAACTGCAATGCTGTGCCTTCTCCAAAGATCGATAAACAAGAGATATTTAACCATTTGCCATATTTAGATGTGGCAATTAATTTTTTATCACTAGACCCATATGTCATAGACACATGTGGACCCACATGTCATTGAGATATGGGTGGCAAATAGTTATTTGCCAAATCTAAAAGTGGCAAATAATTAAAAGCCCCGATAAACAATGCTTCCTCCGTTTCACAATGTAAGTTATTTTAGTATTTTTATATTCATATTGATATTGATGTTAATGAATTCAGTTAATATAAATGTGGAAAATGTTCGAATGACTTACATCGTGAAATGGAGGGAGTATATCAGTTTATATAGTCCTGATCAATGTTGGCGGTTAAGGATAATACTTAAGGAGGGACTAATTTACTTAAGTCGGTGCAAAAATGGTCAACAATTTTGACTGGCTTGCACAAGTATAACGTGAGCTGTGACGTGTTGGTCCTAGTCCCAAGTCGGTTAACTTTTGACTATAAAATGCACATCTAACATTCATCTTTCAGCACTACTGTCTCGCGAGAAAACTTCTTTCATTGTTTTGTAACTAAGCGGTGTCACTCCTCAAAGCTACACAAGCTAGCTCATCCTGAAATTCTCAGACAACCTGAGCTCAGCTAGCGCTGAGCTGAGCTCCATGGCGTCCAAGGACCAAACCGCATCCTCGTCGGAGACGACGACGGCGGTGGCGGATGATACCTCCAGCCAACAAGACGCACCGCCCCACCCGCTGCAGGTGACTTCGCCGGATTCTTCGTTGCCGTCGCCGTCGCCGCGGCAACGCCGGTGCGTGGCGGCGTACATGGACCTGACGCGGGAGGAGTGCGGCCGCCTCTTCCCGTCGGGGCGGCTCCGCTCGCAGCCGCTCCGCCTCGCCGGGCGGCCGTTCTACCTCACGGCGCGCTGCAACATGGACCAGCGGGACACCTTCCGCTGCTTCGGCCTCTTCCTCGCCATGGAGGTCGACGACGAGGAGGAGGAAGAGGAGGGCTCGCCGTCGCCGGCGGCGAGCGTCACCGTGGAATACGACTTCGCCGCGAGGACGAGGCAGCAGTCAGGGGATGAGTTCGTCAGCATGTACAAGGGGCACTACACCTTCGCCGCCGGGAAGTCGTGTGGATACCGGAATCTGCTTGGGATGCCATGGGCGTCGTTCATGGGTGATGGTGGTGGTGACAGCGTGTTCTTCATCGATGGGGTGCTGCACTTGAGGGCTGAATTATGTGTCAAAGAAGATGCTTAATTAGATCGATCGAATTAATATGGATATATTGTACGGCGTTCGTGAATTGAGAATGCTTCATAGCCTTTTGAAAATTTGAGCATGAGAGATCATAGGGCATATGATAATGGTGTTTGACGGAGCGTGGGGCTCCTCACCGGGAGACCGCGCAGGCCCCTCTTTGCCGGTTCGGCCGGGGGCGCTAAGTGAGGTTCTTCGCCCTCGATCGATCTGGGGAATGTTCGCGAGAGAGCAAAACGCACGAGACACGGGCGATGTAGACAGGTTCGGGCCGCTGAGAAGCGTAATACCCTACTCCTGTGTTCTGGGGGACCGGAGCTCGGGGAGGAGAGAAAAAGAGGAAAAGAGTCTCTAGAGTTTGAACTCTCTTGCTCTCCAGCTCTTTGTAACTCCTTCACACACGCCAGATGACGGAGCGTGGGGCTCCTCACCGGGAGACCGCGCAGGCCCCCCTTTGCCAGTTCGGCCGGGGGCGCTAAGTGAGGTTCTTCGTCCTCGATCGATCTGGGGAATGTTCGCGAGAGAGCAAAACGCACGAGACACGGGCGATGTAGACAGGTTCGGGCCGCTGAGAAGCGTAATACCCTACTCCTGTGTTCAGGTGGATCTGTGTGTGAAGGAGTTACAAAGAGCTGGAGAGCAAGAGAGTTCAAACTCTAGAGACTCTTTTCCTCTTTTTCTCTCCTCTCCGAGCTCCGGTCCCCTCCCTTCGGTGGGCAAGGTCCTCCTTTTATATCTCAAGGGGATACCACATGCACCACTTCTACCTACTCTTCTTTTGGGTGGGGACCTACCCTATCTTGACCAAAACTTGGCTTGCCCCTTCGCCTGGAAGCTAAATCACAACTTGTCCTTGAGTGAGGCTCAGCGCCGTCACTCGCGACTACCCTGTCATCCCTTCATTAATGGGCGGAGATTTGCAATGGCCGCTATCCAAATGACCATCCGACGAGATGGGTCATACCTACCTCCACTCCACCGGAGGCAGATGCATCGTGGGAGCACGGTTGTCTGCCGATGACGCGACCGGCGTCAGACCAGTCACAGACCGGTCATTCTTGTCCACCACGTGTCAGTTTAGCATGCTACACGTCTGCCCTTCTTCATACAATAACTTCCTTGCAATGGTTGCGATGAAGCCTGGAATGTATCTGGCCGGGGCTGACGTGCCAACTCCAGGAGTTCCCACGCCGGCTCCGGCTAGGGACGAGTGCCTGAAGGCTCTCATCATTCCGACGGGACGGGGCGAGGCGTGCGAAAGGCCGCCTGTTGCCACCTAACCCGCGATCTGACCGGTCTGTGACCGGTCACACACTGTGACCTGTCACGGACCGAGTGTGCTGCGCTGCATTAAATGCGGCGTGGGGCGCTCGTCCAACCCGCAATAAACGCGGTTAGGTGAGCGCCGCTGTGCTCACCTAACCCACACACGTGGCGCCAAACCCACAGGGGGTCGGGGCGCCCCAACCCTCGGGGCCGAAACGGGAGCGGCCCGACCCCTCAGGGAGACAGAGGGAGGGGCGGCCACATCACCCTCGGGCCCGACCCCCCCCCCCCCCCCCCCCGAGGGGGTCAGGCCACGTGGGTGACTGCAGCTGCCCCAAACCTCTAGTCAAGATACCCTCGGTCCCATGTCACCGACAGTATTTATTAACGAACTCTCTCTGTTACCGTATACAAGTAAATTTGGTAACATGAAAAACATAAAAGGGGAGAAAGTTGTTACTATAACATCGGCTCAGAGTCAAAATTTTCTTGCATAGGGAGGGTAAAGAAAAAAAAGAAAAGTAATGAAAAATTATTTAGGTGCATTGATGGTTAAAAGGTTTTTGTGTCACACATGCCCTTAGGCTTTTTAAAATTTTAGTGGGATCTGTTCTTTGGCGTTGAATGAAAAACTATAAAAATAAAATATAAAAAATGTGTGACACAAGATTAATGAAGCCTTACAGCTCCTGTTTGTGGTTTTGTTTCGCTACATCGATAATATATTTATGTTCAACGGAATACAACTATTAAGTTATATGAGTATTGAGTAAATAAGCGCAACAACTTTAACACGATAAACCTACCGGAGGATAATTTGATGACTCAAAGGAAAGTGCTACTCTTTACAAATTGGGATTTTGGAGTGCCAGGGTAAGGTAAAATAAAAAGAAAATGATTACATTTTAAGATTTTCAATAACAAAATGGGACCAGCTCATCCTGATCTGTTGTTAGAGAAATAAAAAAAAATTCCTTGAAAGGAAAAGCAGCACAGGTGCTGACAAATTTCAACAATTCTGCAGTCAACAGAAAGTTAGCTTGCAGTCTTGTCATCCTGCTCTCGCTGTTTCCAGTTCAATGGTGTGTTTGGATAATGGGAAATAGGAGGTGGGATTAGAATCGATGGGATTGGGAAATGAATGAAGGGTTAGGATTAAATGGAAGAGGGAGAATGAATGGTTAGGATTTAAAGATGGGTGAAATCATTTCCCTTTTCCATTTGCCAAACATTGCCCACGTCTAAGGGCCTGTGTAGTTCTCACCCTAAAATTTTACACCTTATCACATCGAACATTTGAACACATGCATGAAGTATATTAAATATAGGCTAAAAAATAATTAATTGTACAGATTACGACTAATTTACGAGACGAATCTATTAAGCCTCATTGCTCTATGATTTGACAATATGATGCTATAGTAAACATTTGCTAATCACAGATTAATTAGGCTTAATAAATTCGTCTCGCTGTTTACTGACGGATTCTATAATTGGTTTTTTTATTAGCGCCAAACACTCCGTGCGACACCTTATAAAATATTCGATATGACACGTTAAAACTTTACACCCTTATATTTAAACACCCCCTAACCTTTTTTTTCTTTTGATTTCGACAGCGAGATAATGTTACGATTGTTTGATGACTGTTCCCTTGGTAGACTCAGCATATTTCCACGCACCAAATTCCAAAATAATTATGCAAGGATGCAGAATGCCGAAGAAGAAATTAAGGTGTAAATTACAGTGAGTGCTTTGTATACAGCTAGTGGAACGTATGGAAACACAGGAACCGAAGCCAACAGCAATAATTAAAAAAACATGTTTCTTCCGCTCGTTTTCAGGGCCTTTCACCCTATCACATCGACCGTTTGAACACCTCTATAAAATATTAAATATAGACTTAAAAAATAATTGCACAGATTGTGACTAATTTACGAGGCGAATCTTTTAAGCCTAATTACTTCATGATTTGACAATGTGGTGCTACATTAAACATTTGCTAATGACGGATTAAATAGGCTTAATAAATTTATCTCACGGTTTATTGACGGATTCTGTAATTAGTTTTTTATTAGTGCCCGAACACCCCATACAACACCCTATATAGTACCCGACATGACACGCCAAAACTTTACACCCCTAAATCCAAACACCCCCTGAACTCTACCTCAAGCATTTCGAACTTCAGTGCCATTGACCTAGGTTCAAATATGAGGAACATCCATTCCCATATGAACGGAAGACCTCCAAACAGTGGAACCTTCAATGCCATTCGACTTCTCATTTTTTGAAAGATAATGTAAACTTGATTGAACTTAGCCAATAACATTAAGGTGGTACAACAGTACTAAGAACATAATGGATCAATAAAGCACAATAAAAATGCACACAACCAAAACACCACTTACATAATAGTTTGAAAAGAAGGAAAAAAAACAAGGACAATTAAGGGCCAACAATCCGTAGAATAGATCACCACCCATGTTCCTATATAAAAAACTCATTGACCACTTGCTCCAAATATCGACTTGCCACTGCAATAAAGTCTCATCAATAACCCATGAATGGTGCCAGTGGATAAGTAAGGAGATAACCAACAAAGAAGAAATATTTTTCTTGTCAAAACCGCATCATTCATGCATAACCATAGGGACCACACATGGTGGTCGCTCCTAGCAGGACTTGAGGTCTCGTATGTTTGGAAACTAGCAACAACCAACTCCCAAATAAACGTGAAACACTATACGGTGGACACTATATTAATAATAGACCACACTGAATGAACAAAACAACATTGGAAGAATAAATGTTTAATTGCCTCCTCTTTGTGACAAAAACAACATTTCTTACAATCTTGCTAATTTTTCTTGGCTAGATTATCTTTTGTTCAGACTACATCACGATGCAATTACCAAAGGAAAATCAAGGAAAATCCAACGAAAATCATCTTGCTCCTATGTTAACACAATATTAGCGGCACGGGGTAACAAGTTGTTCCACGCCACTAATTTTTAGCCAATCAAACCCTTCTCTATGAAAAGTTGAATGGGTATGTTTGGAAGACATTTGAAATGGTAGATTGTTTATGCCTAACTATATTATATATAGGCAGGGATATTGATCCAACAAGGCCGCATTACCCAACCATTTGTCTTCCCAAAATCTGATTTGAGATCCATCCTTAATTATGAAGGACCCATATCGAAGAAAATCATGTTTGGCCTTCATAAAGCTACCTAGAAATGTGAATCCCCAGCTTTCAATAGGGCTTGTGATAAATGCTGAAATCCAAATATTGCGTATCATTTCTTGCCACGTACCATTTGTTGTAAGCAACTTATGAAGCCATTTACTAACTAAAACATTATTCTTTACTTCCAGATCATGAATTCCTAATCCCCCTTGAATTTTTGGTTGGCACATTATATCTCACTTAGCTACTCGATACTTCTTCTTGTGACCGTCACTCTGCCAATCAACTTTTTTAATCCCGTGGCATAACATTATCAAAATCTAGAATTGTTCCTTTACCCTTCAACAATTTCACTTGAAGATTAAATTTAGCATTAATATTTATAGAGTGATAAAGTCATACTACAATAAATCCTTATATATTAATTGGGGGTCATACTAGAAGCCCCATATTAATCCTACGAGAGGTAGAAAACTAGAAATTATCGCACTAGTCAAGTTGCACTTGGCCTAGAGTCTCAATTGTAGTATAAATGATATAATAATTCTAAAATTAAAATTAGCAAATAACAAGTTCAATTAGGTTTGAAGCCGTAATTCTATTTTTATAATTTAATCATTCTTAAATTTAGAATTACTAAAAAATAATTATTAATACAGCGTTGTACTTGCTGTAGAGACTCATATAGTTTTTACGACGATTTAATAATTTCAAAAATAAATACAGGAAATTGCTAAGTTTGTAATCTAAAATATAATATTGTCATAATATAATAATTCTAAAATTCAAATTAATAAATACCAAGTTGATGTTTTATTTAAAATATATAGTATGTGCCGCACAGCTTGATGCTTAGTCTAGATCTTTTAACCGTGCTACGCTGGGTTAATTAGCGATGGTGCAGGTCACGTACCCAAATTTCTTCACTGTTGGATCAACTAGAGTAGTTAAACGAGGGCATGTGATGAAGGCTAGCTATTTGAAATTTTCCAATTATCCCTGCATAAGTCAGGCTACAATAGCACCTGGACTACATGCAGGGATTACAAAATAGGTGGTAACCACATTTACCGCGTTAACCCTATCAAATTCAAATAAATTTTAAAAGTAATTTGATTTTTTTAATAAATTTTGTATGGTTTCTCAAGCTTTATTTTGGTTACCGTGCTTACTGCCGGAGGCAATGGGAAACCCTCACTAGAAGTTGCACCTGTTCTTGTCTGTGCACCATATCATGTTGAATCATGTGCGTTGTGTCCTTTCGGAAGAACCGATTTACTACATGACTCATCAATTCCACTTTACGTATCAAAAGGTTTGTTATGGGGGCAATGCTTTTGTGAAATTAAATTTTTATTTTGCGTCACGTTGTATCTAGTTAAACACTACCTACCTACCATTACAAAACCTCATTCCACAAAACGATGCATCTAGATAAAAAATATGACATGTAAAGTGAGTAATGACTCATGTTTATTATCAAAAATCGATAACAATCAAATGATATAGGTAGTAAAGTACCTTTGAAATGGCATGTCCAAGTATGTGTAGCTCCACCTAGCACAATATCCCAAGTGATCATCATAAAAGGCATACAAATACAAGCAGCCGATGATGCACACAAGAAACAACACAAATTGCACAAAACCAAAAGCAACCGATGCCTTGAGCATAGAGATCATGCTATTCCCACTATAAATACAAATGCACCATATCAAGATGCTCCTCACCCTTACTGAAAAATCACAAACATCAAAACGTTATAAGAGTTCTCTAGCATCCATCACATAGCCATGAAGATCTTTGTCATCCTCTCTCTCCTCGCCCTCGCAGCGAGCAGCGCCTCGGCACAGTTTGATGCTTGCACCTATGGGCAATGCCAGCAGCAGCCGTTTATGCAACCGATCATGAACCCGTGCAATGAGTTCGTGAGGCAACAGTGCAGCCCGATGAGCCTACCTTGGGAGCAGTCACGCAGGCTACAACTGAGCAGCTGCCAGGTGATGCGGCAGCAATGCTGTCAGCAGATGAGGTTGATGGCGCAACAATATCATTGCCAGGCTATTTGCACCATGGTGCAGTCTATCATGCAGCAAGTGCAGTTTGATGCTGGCTTTGTTGGCGAGCCCCAAGCTCAGGCCCAGGCCCAGGTGGCTCTCAATTTGCCCTCCATGTGTGGAGTCTACCCTAGGTACTGCAGCACTCCATGCAAAGTTGCTACTGGTCATTGCGGTTCTTGGTAGTGTGTACCATCATATATATATAGTTGGATAAATAAAGTGTCACACATCATCGTGTGTGTCATGTAATAAAATTTGGAATAGTCTTTGGCTGTTCGTATGAATAAATGAAAATTATAACATGTCCAATTGTTGAAGCAAACAGGCATTGTGGGTATCCAGTGGCTGCATTAATTTTCGGTTTTACTGTACATACAAATTTCATCATATTATTCTTTTTTGTTTTCATACTAAGAAAGAGAAGCAAATCAATATAATATATTAATCTGATCTTGTAGAAATGAAAAGATGAGATACTCAAAGTTATGTTTAATTGGAATTCAGTAAGATCAGAGATATAATGTTGATCTCTATCTCTTTAATTGTGTGTAGGCAACATTCGTATATGTGTGCGTAGTGATATGTGCACAAGTTATACACATGTCAAAAGTGCTAACTAGCTATCTCCATGCAAAGCACTAGATAGTGACTTACGTATAAGTTTCCAACGCAGAAATTTCATACAAAAGGATTACCCAAAAACTTTTTATAGAAACTTTTTTAGAAGAAACTTACTGCAAGAGTTATTAGAAAAAAACTCACTATAAACATAGAAGAAGTCCCCCTTTAGCAAATTTGTCCATTAAACAGTTTCCTCTTAAAAATATTTATAGCAAGATAAAATATTTATATAGAAAATTGAAAAAACACTTTTTGTGACCCTCATATAAAAATGGGAAATTTTATGACGATATGGAAAAACTGCCGCAAGTTTTTTGAGTGGAAAACTTTCAAATATAACTACATTATAACTTGTATCAGATTATAAAAATCATGTAAATTCATATCTAAGTTAACATTAGTGTAATTATACTATAGTTACAATGTAGTTACACTAAATTTATACTACAGATACATTAGAAAGTTTTTTATCCAAAAGCTTGCGATATTATTTTAGCAATTTAAAAAACAATAATTTGCAAGAAAACTTTATGTTGAAAAACCTAAATAATGTGAATTTGTTCAAATATATATATTTATATTCAAAATCACTTTAAAAACAATGAGCTGGCATCTCTAAGCCCAATGCCGCACAGGGTGCACAATCGTAACAATAATCCATGTTACATAAGCAGATGATAAAAATATTAAAACATTTATACCATGCAACCACACATTTAGTATTTTCCGTGTTGTATATCCTCGTTTCCTTTTCAACCAAGTAGTGGTTGGTAGCCTCTCATATTGGAATTCTCCAACATTATGTATCTCTCTGACATTTTGTATCTCCAGTAGTCGCGAAAAAATGCATGAAAATTAGTATTTTGCTTGTTGCATATCCTCTTCCCCTTTTTAACCTGGTAGTGATCAGTAGCCTCACACGTTGGAATTCTTTCACATTTTGTTACTCTCTTCAATAGCCACGCAAAAAGAAAAAAGTATTAATGTCTGTGACCCACTTAACTGCGCAAATTCGTATTTTACTTGTTCTTATCCTCTTTTCCTTTTCAACCTGGTAGCGGTTGGTTGCCTCAGACGTTGGAATTCTTCGACAATATGCATCTCCAGTAGTTGCGTAAAAAGAAAAAAAAGTATTTAAGCATGTGCCCCCACTCAACCATGCAAACTCTGTGTTGTATATTATATTTCTCTTTTTAATCTGGTAGCGGTCGGTAACCTCACAGGTTGGAATTCTCTATCATTCTTATCTCTAGTAGTCGCGTAAAAAGAAAAAGGTATTAAACCGTGTCCCCACTCAACCACACAAACATGTATTTTTCGTATTATATATTACTTTTCTCTTTTCAACTTGGTAGCGGTCGATAGTCTCACATGTTGGAATTCTCTATGATTCATATCTATAGTAGCCGCATAAAAAGAAAGAGGTATTAAAACGTGTGACCCACTCAACTGCATAAACTAGTATTTCCAGGGTGGTATAATATTATCTTTATGTTTTCAACTTGCTGCGGTCGATAGCCTTATGCTTTGGAATTCTATTCATTCTTATGTATAGTAGTCGCACAAAAAGAAAAAAAAAGGTATTAAAGCATGTACCCCACTCAACCGTGAAAACTAGTATTTTTCATGTGGTATAATATTATCTTTCCCTTTTCAACCTGGTAGAATAAATATTTTTCTTGTAAAAACCACATCATTCATGCATAACCATAGGGACCAACACATGCAGGGGCGGATCCAACGTGGGTGCAGGGGGGGCTCGAGTCCCCCCTACACCCACAAGACCCATAGATACCTCCCGGAGCACCCCCTTCAATTTTTTCACTATGAATGATAAACTAAAGGTCCCTAGATGGCTGGAGGTTGAAGAAACTGTTTAATTAAGCCCCTCCAATTTTTTGTTCATGGATCCGCCCCTGAACACATGGTGGCCGCTCCTAGCAGGACTTGAGGTCTCATATCTTTGGAAAGTGGCAACAACCAACTCCCAAACAAACGTGAAACACTACGCGGTGGACATATGTTTGAAGCTATATGAATAATAGACCACAATGGATGAGCAAAATGGCATTGGAAGAATAAATGTTTAATTGCCTTCTCTTTGTGACAAAAAACAACATTTCTTATTACCTCGCTAATTTATATTTGGGACACCATTATGAACCAGAGCTAGATAGAAAGATTTAATGGAGAACTTGCCATTTGGGGAGAGACTCCAGTGAAAATCAACTTGATCCTATGTTAACATAATATTAGCGATACGGGGTAACAAGTTGCTCCACGCCACTAATTTTGAGCGAATCAAGCCCATGGGTATGTTTGGAAGACCTCTAAAATGGTTGATTATTTATGCCTAACAATATTATATATAGGAAGGGATATTGATCCCGCAAGGTTGCAGTGCCTAACCATTTGTCTTCCCAAATTCTAATTTGAGAGCCATATTTAATTATGAAGGACCCACATTGGAGAAAAATCATATTTGGCCTTCATAAAGCTAGCCCAAAAATGTGAATCCCCATCTTTCAATAGGGCTTGTGATAAATGCTAAAATCCCAAATATTTATTGCGTATCATTTGTTGCCACATACCACTAGTTGTAAGCAACTTATGAAGCCATTTACTAACTAACACATTATCCTTTACTTGCAGATCATGAATTCCTAACCCCCCCCCCCCCGATCTTTTTGGCGGCACATTATATCCCTCTTAGCTAGTTGATACTTCTTCTTCTTGCGACCGTCACTCTGCCAATCAACTTGTCTAACCCCATGAAATAACATTATCAAAATACCTTTACCCTTCACAATTTCACTTGAAGATTAAATTTAGCATTCATATTAATAGAGTGATAAAGTCATACTACAGTCAATCTTTATATATTAATTGAGGGTCATACTAGAAACCCCACTTTAATCCTACCATAGGTAGAAAGCTAGAAATTATCACTAATCAAAAGAGCTAGAAATAACGTTAATACAAAAATGATGAAATCAAATGTGTCCACAGTCAAGATCTTCTATCACACAATATATAGACTTATCCATTGGAATGAATAAATATGCAGTTATACCAGGTTTGGATTTTTTTTCTATGACTCAATAATTATAAAATTCAGAATTAATAAACTAACAACAAATTGCACTTGCTCTAGAGTCTCAATCTTAGTTTAAACGATTTAATAGTTCTAAAATTAAAAATTAGCAAATAAGGTTTGAAGCCGTAATTCTATTTTTATAATTTAATCATTCTTAAATTTAGAATTACTAAAAAGTAATTAATTAATAATGCGTTGTACTTGATCTAGAGTCTCAAATCGTTTTTATGATGATTTAATAATTTCAAACATAAATACAGTAAAGTGCTCAGTTTCTAATCTGAAATATAATATAATGATTCTAATCTTTAAATTAATAAATACCAAGTTGATATTGATAAATTAAAATATATAGCATGTGCAGCACTGCTTGATGCCTAGTCTAGAATCTTTAATCGCGGTAAGCTGGGTTAACTACGGTGCGGGCCACGTACCCAAATTTCTTTCACAGTTGGATTGACTAGTGTAGTCAAACGAGGGCATGTGACGAAGGCTAGCTATTTTAAATTTTCCGATTGTCCCTACATAAATCAGGCTATAATAGCCCCCAGACTACACGCAGGGACTACAAAATCGGTGGTACCCCCATCCTCCTCCCCCTTCTTTCTCCCCTCCTCTCCCTTCTCTTATTTCTCAATCCGGTTTTTCTTGAAGTGGCAGCGGCGTGGAGTTCTCAACGGCGCGCGGCGGTGCTGCGGTGCGACGGCTCGACGCAGCGGTGAGGAGGCGAGGAGGAGGTGAACGGCGGCGCCGCGGCCTCCATCCCCGACCGCCGGGGGCCACCTCCATCCCCCAACTGACGGGCGCCACCTCCGACCGCCTGGCGCTAGATCCGTCCTCCACAAGGTCAGGGGACGCGGATCCGGCCACCGGGCGTCGTCTCCTCCGTCCGCCGGCTGCGTCCCCAACTGACGAGTGCAGAACTGCAGATTCCCCCGTCGGCTGCTTCCGGGTGCAGAAGGCGAAGAGGGCGGCGTCGAGGAGCAGTAATAGGGACGAGGTCATCCGCAAGGAGGAGGAGCAAGGTCGCCTCCAGGCCGAGCTCAAGAAGGTCTAGTGCGCCAAGGAGTTCAAGCCCACCGTGGTATGAAGAAGCCCTGCCCGGCAAAACCCACAACCATTTATTCCCTTCGTTTTTGTTGCTCGTCAGGTGATTGATGAATTGCTTGCTTGCCATGGCTGTTTTATGTGTGATGAAATGTTCGTGAAGACTTTTCTGTGTGATGAAATGTTGTGTGTGATGAATGCGATGGCAACTACCCAGAAGCACTTTTTTTTTGTTTTTTTTTATCGAAATCTACATCAGTGACGGGTGTTGAGCTGTGGTTGTGGCTCTTTTTTCCTTTTTTTTTTGGGTGATTTTTCTCATCTGTGACGGGTCACATGACACAACCCGTCAAAGGTGTTTGTCACCTCTGACGGACCTACACCCGTCAAAGGTGAGTTAAGTCATCAGTGACCATTGATCTGTGACGAGGGAGTCTATCCGTCACAGAAGAGGGTTTGAGCCCGTCACTGCTAGCTTGTTCTGCTGTAGTGTGTGCGTTATGTCCTTTCTGAGGAACCGATTTAGTTTATGACTCATCAATTCCACTTTACATATCAAAAGGTTTATTATGGGGGCAATGCTTTTGTGAAATTGAATTTGTATTTTGTGTCACGTTGTGGACATACATATCTTCAATTTATAAATAATATTACAAATAGGTGGAACTGAAGTAACTTCGTTTGTAAGGATCAAAATCTGATAGTGGCATGAGCTTGGAGTTTCAAAAACTTTTTGGTCAAATCCGTTTTTATAAGGCTGGTGTATTGCTACAGAAGTAAGGAAGAATGTCATCTCGTGTTCCAAAGCCCAAAATGACAAACTAAAGCTTGGAGTTGATCCATACTTAAGTGTCAGAAAATCTTTTGAGTGTACAACAGATATGTGTATTCTGAAGTTAAACACTACCTACCTAACGTTACAAAACGTCATTTCACAAAACAATGTATCTAGATAAAAAAATATGACATGTAAAGTGAGTAATGACTCATATTTATAATCAAAAACTGATAACAATAAGATGAGATAGTTACTAAAGTACCTTTGACGATGGCATGTCCAAGTATGTGTACCTCCACCTAGCACAACATCCCAAATGATCATATTAAAAGGCATATGAATACAAGCAACCCCAAGATGCACACAAGAAACAACACAAATTGCACAAAACCAAAAGCAACCGATGTCTTGAGCGTAGAGATCATGCTATCCCCACTATAAATACAAATGAACTATATCAAAGATGCTCCTTATCCTTATGGAAAAATCACAAACATCAAAACGGTATAAGAGTTCTCTAACATCAATCTCATAGCTATAAAGATCTTTGTCATCCTCTCTCTCCTCGCCCTCGCAGCGAGCAGCGCCTCAGCACAGTTTGATGCTTGCACCTATGGGCAAAGCCAACAGCAGCCGTTCATGCAACCGATCATGAACTCGTGCAATGAGTTCGTGAGGCGACAGTGCAGCCCAGTGAGCCTGCCTTGGGAGCAGTCACACAGGCTAAAACTGAGCAGCTGCCAGGTGATGCGACAACAATGCTGTCGGCGGATGAGGCTGATGGCGCAGCAATATCGCTGCCAGGCTATTTTCACCATGGTGCAGGCGATCATGCAACAGGTGCAATTAGATGCTAGCTTATTTGGTGTGCCCCAAGCTCAGGCCCAGGCCCAGGTGGCTCTCAACTTACCCTCCATGTGTGGTGTCTACCCTAGGTACTGCAACACTCCGTGTATCGTTGCTACTAGTCGTTGCGGTTCTTGGTAGTGTGTACTAGCATATATACTTTGATAAATAAAGTGTCGCACATTATCGTGTGTGTCACGTAATGGAAATTTGGAATAGTGTTTGGTTGTTCGTATGAATAAATGAAAATAACATGGACATTTGAATGATTTTGTCTGCTTTTCCAGTGAGCCTCGAGGTGTTCAAAGAATTTCACATGCTAGTTGTTGTGTGTTTTTCAATTACTAGTCAAATGCCCTTTTGTTACAATAGAATTTAAAAATCACATAATTACCATTTCAGATATTAATATTCATATTTTTGTTGGTTTAATATATTTTAATATATAGCACAATAGTTCAGGTCACTCATCAAACAGAGCTTATTGTTCTGTATCTCAGGAAATAGTTATGGCAGGTAAAGGCAGATTCACTATTCTTCACCACCATTCCAATCTTTTCAAAGGAGTACATATCTCCGCAAAATAAGAATGCATGCCTCCCGAAGCATATATTCTTGCTATGCCGGGAATTGTGTTTGTTGGAGGCTTGCCACGGAGGGCCTTCGGCTGAACCTGCCGAAACCAAAAAGTTTAAGCAACAGGCTCACGCCGAAGGTGGGCGGCGAAGGACAAGAGTGAAGCCATACGGGCGAAAGCCGTGACTGGGGTAACACCACCTTCGCCGAGTGGAGTTCTCGCCAGAAGGCGGCACGGGCGAAGATGATGTGGCGAAAGCCTCGGCACACAGGCACGGGCTTCGCCATAGCACCAAACCCCGTTGACGGGAGGCTTGGTGGGCCATTACGCCCTCGGGGGATTTCGCCAGATAGATGGGCCGAGCTATTTGCCCTCCATAATGTCCCTATCATAAGGGTAACCATGTAAATTCCCCTGTATAACCTAAACCCTAGTAGTGGGAACCTGTAATGGGGCTATAAATAGCCCCCTAGGGCCATGTAATAGGGGGATCTCAAGAAAAAAATCCCAATTCAATACACTATAACTGTTTTCCAACCACTGTTGAGTAACTACCTCTTTCGACGTATGCGGTTGTCGTTTCGACAACAGCTAGCGCCGACCGTAGGGACCTCCGAGCGAAACCACTGAGAGCGAATGCTACCAAAGAGGGTCGTGAAAGAGAAGGTTACCAGGCGAAAGGCGAGCGAAGTAGGAGGGGAGATGGCCGCCGAAGATGGAGCAGAGCCTTCGGCGCCAATCGCCGAAGATAGGGGAGCCCCATCGGCTTCAGCACCCGCGCCACAACCACCGTCTTCAGCTCCTGCTGCCTCGTCGGGGCAGGTACCGAACACGGTCGACGCGGCGAAGGCAGCCGCAGCGGCTAGCGCGCTCCAGACCAGGGCGGAGACCCTTTCGACAGGCCAGCTGCTGGTGCCCCAAGCCGCTTCGTCATAGCCGGCAACGGTTTCGACCGCGCTCGCCGCCGCACAAGTCAACCCCGACCTCTAAGCACATGTCGAAGCCGACATGGAGGCCATGCGCCGGAACATGACGCGACTCCAAGACATGGTTCGTCAGATGCAAGAACAGCAGCAGGCGTATAAGACGGCGAGGCAGGCCAAGGTCGCTTCGGCTCCAATCCTCCAGTATTCGGCGGGCTACATCCCACCCCAAGTCTACCCGCAAGCACCAATCCAGCCCCATCCGCCACAAGCCATGCAAATGCCAGTATACTTCACTGGGCAGCCTCCAACCACAGCAATGCAACCGGCCCCTCATGTGCAGCCGCAAGCTCAGCCGGTCGCTGCCCAAGTACATCCTCCACCACTTGGCCAAATGTCACAAGCAATGGCAGAAGGGGCTTCGGCCTTGCAGGCACAGCTTCAAGCTTTCCTTCAGCATCTCAGCCAACCCCACAGCATTTCAGGAACAGCCCCCTCGGCCCAGCCGGAGAGGAACACGAGTCAAGGTGCACCCAATTGGTTGCCGTCGAATCAGCCTGGTCCGGGGGCTTCGCCTTGGAGTTAAGGACCACAATTCGACTTCACCAACGCTGCTCAAGCACCAACCGTTCGGCCATAGGCACCAACACTAGGCTTTGGAGCAAACCAAGAACCAAACTAGGTCACCATGGCATGGACCCAGCCGACGTTCGACCCATCCATGGCGGCCCACCAAGCATCACCGATCAGGGCTAGGCAGCCGAACACTGTGGCCCAGCCGCATGCGCAAGCCATGACCTCGCCCTTCGCCACGCCATATCCACAGCAAGGTGCCGCGAACAGGGCGGGGGGCGAAAAGGGGCTACCACTGAGTGGGGGAATCAAGATCCGTCCAATCCCACCCCAGTTCAAGTTCCCACCCGTCCCACGCTATTCGGGCGAAACGGATCTAAAAGAGTTCTTGTCCATCTACGAGTCCGCGATCGAAGCCGCTCATGGAGACGAAAATACCAAGGCGAAGGTAATACATCTCGCTCTAGACGGCATCGCCCGTTCTTTGTACTTCAATTTACCAGCTAACAGCATTTACTCATAGAAGCAATTGCGCGATGTCTTTGTCCTTAACTTTCGAGGCACCTACGAGGAGCCGAAGACGCAGCAGCATCTACTCGGTATTCGCAAGAGGCCTGGGGAATTGATAAGGGAGTACATGCGTCGCTTCTCGCAAGCCCGATGTCAAGTGCAGGACATAACTGAGGCGTCCGTCATCAACGCCGCTTCGGCCGGGCTGCTCGAGGGCAAACTCACAAGAAAAATCGCCAACAAAGAGCCGCAAACGCTTGAGCACCTACTTCGCATCATTGACGGGTACGTGTCACGCCCGGAATTTCTATCCAAAATTCCAAACGCTTACATGTGTGTTAAGCCCTCGTCCAGGAATCAACCGAGGCACACAATGACAATATTGATAATAGAGTACAAATAACTATCAAATATTCGCAAATAATAAATTATTACAGAGGTGGATAGTTCCTCTCAAAGAAAAATAACATTCTACGCAGCGGAAAGATAAAACTATAACAAACGACGGAACAGCTATGGCAACTCCACTCCACAGGCAACTTAACCAAGAACAAGCCTATTCCTCCAGATCATCACCTTCACTGAAAAACTCCTCTTCTGATGAATGAATATTGCAAGAATGAGCATATAACATACTCAACAAGCCACACAGCAAATATGCAAGTGCACAGGATAACAAAGGATGGCATAATATAGCTCATTTGCAGAAACAGCATTTAATAAATATTTAAGAGAACAGTAAAACAGTTGAATAATTAATCAGTATTAAACAAACACTATACAACACACCCGTGTTGCATAGGCCCAACCACCTTTGAACAACCAACCCCAGTTGAACAAATTAACCCTCCAAACCAGGAATTTGCCATTCCAAACCAGGAATTAAATTAATTAACACATTATTACCATTAATGAGTAGTGTGAGACTAATCACGAAAAACATTGCTCAACTTACCCTTAACCGCGGGTACGGCTATTCGAATAGATTAAACTCTGATCAGAGGTGTACCACTGTACCCACAAGACACAACCCCACATCATGTTACCATGTGCCTCAATACCACCACGGTATCTCGGAAAGGAATTGT